ATTAAGTTACAAGTTAAATGGAAATTTCTTAAATAAAAATATTTTTTATTATTACAAAAATATATTTTATAAAATAGCTTAATTAATTTGTTATATTAAAAGCAACATGTTAAATAACAATTAGAACCACTCAATCGAGATTCGTGACTCGATGTTCCCTACTTAGTTGAGCAGCTCAAAGCATTCAAATGTGCCTTGTTGCAACAATATTTTCGCTGATGATTTGATATTCGTTGCCACCATTCGCCACATTTCTCCTTGGCAACTGGTGATATGTCGTCGTGCTCTGTATTTAATAATAATAAACTAATAGATTGTATTAAAACATTAGTTTGTAAGCAGATAAATAGTTTAGTTTTGATGTGTACTTTGTAGTAATTGTTATTTAACATGTTGCTTTTAATATAACAAATTAATTAAGCTATTTTATAAAATATATTTTTGTAATAATAAAAAATATTTTTATTTAAGAAATTTCCATTTAACTTGTAACTTAATATAATTTAATTAGAATATTTTATCAAGTTTAATACAGAAAATACAATTTTTTTAATACATTTATCCATTTAATTAATATAACTAGTATGTATGTTTTTAAAACAGGTAATTAAACAATTTAGTTTTTGATTCATACAATTTTAATAAAAATGTATTCTCTTTATTAAATGAAATAAATAAATCTGGATTACAATTAAGTTGCTTACATGGTAAACTCCATTTGTAAATTCCTGTTAATAATTCACTTGTATCAGGTCGACTATTAGTATGATAGCTTATCATTTGAAATGCAATTGTTGCAAGCTCATTTTCATAAGCCTCCATTGTCCTATTCTTACTCCTATTACAAATATTTAATTATATTTATATAAATTTAGTCAATTAACAAGGTACAATAAAATAATAAAATTACATAAACTCCATGATGATTATGATCATTTTTCCAAAGCTATAAATATCTGATCGAGGTCTAAAATTACCAAGTATCGCTTCAGGCGCCATATAAGTAAATGTACCAGGGCATCGAGAATCCGCTATCGTAATTCCATCAAAATAAGTTGCTAGACCAAAATCCCCTATTTTTAAATAATTATTGTTTTTGGCGTTTATATCATACAAGATATTTTTCGGAGTAAAATCACGATGAACAATTCCTTGAACACAATGCAAATAGTGTAATCCATGTATTAGCTCGATAAACATTTCGGATAAAATAAAATATTTAATTTCCTCTTGCTTTATGCCTGTTGTATTTAAAAACAAATCTTTGATTTTGAAAATAACTTGCTCAAAATTGTATTCATAATATTCCATCTGAATATATAATGTTGAGTAATCCGAATGCCATGATGAAATATGTTTTACGATAAAATCACTGTCAGCTAGTCGCGTCATAATATCGACCTCGCCAAATATTTTTGCTAATAAAATTAATTAAATATCACATAATTAATAATAATAAAATTTTTACCTTTATTCAAATTATTTAGCGGTATTGATTTAATTGCATAAATTTTCTTGTCAATTTTATTAAAAACTTTATGTACTGTACCGAAGCCACCTTGCCCAATTAATTCCATTAACTCAAAATTTTTGCTTTGGAAACCCCATAAATTATTTGTATTTTTTCTATTGTGTCTGTAATATTGAATTGCACAACACACAAATACAAAAAATGATATTAAACATATAAACATAATAATTATTATAAACAATATTTTAAATAAAATTTTCTGATTATGATCAATTTGTGGTATATAGGTGGTGATTTCTAAAGAATAATCATCGAAATCACCCGGCTCCATATTAATAAGCTTTTTATCATAATTTGCACAGTAGACGTTAATAATATTTTCTTTAGCATTTAAACCTTGATCAAAATACCAATACAACTCTGCATACGAACAATTAATGTTATTGTTTTGAAAATTAAACTTTATCCTTGATGATTTTTCCGCGTATTGACGAAATATACTATCCGGTAATCTAGTAATATCATTGTCTCTAACGTCTATAGTAATATTACCAAGTTCGTTGTCAATGGATAGATTTAGATATTCAAATTCGTGCGCTTTTAGTTTATTTTCCGACATGTCGAATGATAAATTAAATTTATTTGAAAATTTAAGGCTAGCTAGGTAATAGTGATTCTTGCTAACTGTTACTGAGTTTAATTTTGTTAAACCCGTAAATATATCCGGACCAAGTTCAAGTCGTTTGTATAATCCAGTTGCACTATCCGAAATGATAAAGGTGATTTCTTCTAGATTATGATAGTGTTTTAAGCTATTATCGAAATTAGAGTATTCTATTACCATGGTCACTTTGATAACGTGATCCGAATCGGTTGATAAAAGTTTATTGACAAAACTTTTATCGCACATTGTTAATTGTAACTGTTTAAATGATGTAGCAAATATCGTTTCAACAGGGCCAATATTTATTATGTTGTAAAAATAAAACTTATTTGTTGAAATATTGTCAAATGATAGATTAGTCTGCGTGACATTAGTAAATTGTATCAAGTCAAAACGCGTATTGCTTATATGTGGAACCATGTCTGTATTTGTACAATATAATTTCATATATACACAATAGCACCCTGGTGATACCAAAGGTAATGGGCAAATAAATTCCTCACATAATGTATAATTGTGTTCACCACCTATTAGTAATAATATCCAATGGACCAATATAATTTTGCTAAATTTTTCTAGACACATGTTAATAATTTAATAGTTTAATTAAACTAAATTTTTATAAATAAATATTAATTTAGTGTATTTAAATTTTTACACATATAATATTTATAAAAATAAGTTTAAAAATGTTGAGTATAAAGTAGTATTACAAAAGAATGTATTTATCTATGTAATAAAAATGTACAGTATTATTATTATAGTATTAATAAGATTATTAATATGATATTTTTGTTTTATGGCAATGTTAAAATTGTTAGTTAGAGTCAAAGCAATATAACCATTTATAAAATTACTATGAAATACTTGTTATACAGGATATATACTGTATAATAAAAACAAAATATAACAATTAAATCTACCTGTGCGTTATATATAATTTATATTTACTTGAGTTAATAGAACATTTTATATACTGTGTAATATTTTAATATTATATACAGTATAATAAACAAAGATTCAAAATGATAGATTATTGCCATAATTTTATAACATATTGTATAATATAAAAAATTATATTTAGATAATTAAAAAATGTTTAATTTAATTACTTGTTTACAACTTTATAATCATAACTAATTTTTATATTTATTTCCATAGTTTACTATTGCCCAATTTCTGGATAATTAGAAATCCTCATTTATTTTCCTTTTGAAGTAGATTCAATGAGCTAGGTTACATTAATAGTTTTACATGTTACAATATTTATACCTAAACGCGTGTTAATTAATTACAATAAATTAGATATAAGTAACGTATACACTGGTGAATTAAATTGAATTATATCGGTACTTCTAAATCATATCTTTACAAAATATTATGATATATACAACTTAATTTAATAATGTTGAAATACAGTATTACTTATATCTAATTAATTGTAACTTTATTACCTGTTTACACCAAAAATAATTATCTTTATTATAATTATAAAGTTATTTTTATGATTATAGGATTATAGACTTTATTGTAACATTTAAAACATATTCACCGAAGTCTAGTATTCCCTTGTTAATATTCAAATGTGAATATTTACATAACCGTGTAAGATAAATGATCTTATATACCCAGAGATATTCATTCAGGATTACAATTCTGAAGTAAGGTCAAAGGTACGGTTATCCGTTTAGGAATTATCAAGGAAAACCCGCTACCAGTTTTAATTGCTCGTAGCTGTATATTTATTAATATATCGCAAATAAACTAAACTTATAATGAACTAAATTAATAAATATCACAATAATAAAACACAAAATCACAATAATTTCAAATGTGCATAAAAATATTTATAATTGTGCACAATATTTATGGTAAGACCAGTTATTTAAGACCAGGTAAACTCGAGACCTGTCTCAATTATTGACTTTGTATTGTAATTAGTCACCAAGAAATATGTTGGTTTAACATGTTGGAAGTTATTTACTATTAATTACTTTCGATGCTATGAGGTAGGTGACAATTTTAAATAATATAATATAAATTCTGAAGCAACAGAAGCTGCTAAATAATCTCTTAATTTAAAATTTATTATTAGTTATTATAATATAATATTTTTGAAAGTTTTGTGAACTTCTTTCTAAAGATTATATTTATATTTTTAAAATATTAATAAATATAATAAATGTTACAGTTATGTGATGATATGTAACGATATGTATTAACACGGGAAATCATAACATACTTTTTGTATCGCAGAGCCATTATTAACAATTAAATTATGTATACAATTAACCAGCATCATTTATTGCCTGCTGCGACTGTTTACAAATATGGGTCAACGCATTTATGTAACATTGGTTTAGATATGTTTGAAACACCTTATAATAGCGGTCATAGAAAGTGGACTAATAAACATAGTCTAGTATTTATTGTGCTACATTAATATTTAATTTATAGAATAGCCAGTTTATTATTTGAAAAATTTACATTAAAAATTAGACTTGATGATTATTATGTATTTTTATTTAGAAATATTAGCATTTATTGTAAAAATTTAATTTTATATAATTGATAAAATGAAACCATTTTAACTGATAGTTTATAAACTAAAATAATAAATATTTGAGAAAGCAGAAAAGTTTATAAATTCAGTATTAACTTATAAAATTATACAACTTTTATTATTTTTCTTGGGATTTACTTTTTTGCTTGTCACTATACGATCATAAATAGATGACCTAGCTCCAGTATCATGCACACTCATTTGTAGCGCTAATTGCAATTCAATATCTGGATCATTTGCTGGCATCGTATTTCTTGAACTTGATGAACGTGTCCCGGCTACAATACTACTATAAGATGCCTTTACATGACAAGATATACAAAGTTTAAAATATTATAATTTATAAAATTTAATATACAGTATAATACAATTTAACAAATAAACTTACGTTTGATTGTGTAGTATTACTTTTAGTGCCCTTTGCTGCTAATGTCCTAGCTACATTAGAGCTGGAAGTGACCTTGTACAAAAACACAAACATAATAAGTTAGATTATTATAATAATATAAGCTAATTATAATTTGTTTACATAAAATTATTTAAAACTTACTTTTGGTCGAGCAATATTATTTTTAGCTAGGGGATATTGTTTCTTAGCAAGTACAGGGTGTGTGACCAGGATCGTACGTATTTCTTGAGCCTTTTGACCCGTTGCGTGAGTGTACGGACAGTCCTTTTTTGAACAACTAGTGCCGGACGTACACAACGGGTGGATATAAATACAGCGGTTTCCGAACCTACAGCCCGGGTATGAAAAGCATGGTCTGTCCGGGTGATGATACTGACACTGGTCACCTTTGACACAGTTAGGCCATTTGAAACACCGTTTAGGTCTGCCCAGGACTGAATGATTGACCTGGGTGCTATAAAACATTAATATTAACTTAATAAGCATACTATAAAATTTACAAAAATAAAAAATAAATTATGATTATTATTTTTACAAAATGTTGACTATTTTATTATAACATGAAAATTAATAACAAAAATTGTTAATTAAATACTATATTTGCACTTTAATAGTAAAGTCAAGTTTAGATTCACAATTACCTACGTCTCATTATATTTATTAAAGTAATAACTATTAGTGTACCGTTATATAAAACACATGCATAAATAAATATAGTATAAACACTATTATGAACAAGCAAAACATTTAAAGGATATTATAGTAATTAAACAAAGGATGTTAGTAATGTAACTGTAAACATATTATTTTAAAATGTAAAAGTACATTAAACAATTTTAACATTGATTAAATATTAAGTCATACCTTGGTCTCGCCCCTGCACTTGGGTGACCACCACAAATATGACCTGGTCCATTGCTACCCACATTAGCGCTACACTTACGACAATATTTAAACCTACATTTCCTGAGATGACCCTGCACCTGGTCCAGCTTCAACACCTCCCGACACCCA